AAGAGAATGGTGGGATGTTAAAAAAACAAAAATAGCGAGGAGTAAATATAACAAAGTAAGGAACAATAAATAAGCATGAAAATTACTACAAATTCACCCCCCCAAAGATTTTCACGACCTATAACTTATAGCAGAAGAGTAGCCAGCCTGAGTGGAAAAGGCATGTACTTCACCAAAAGAGATTTCCAAACGCAACGATTTTTTGTAAGTTTTACAGGGCACATAAGTAGGTCTCTAAATGTTTAAAATAGATGAAAACCAGGCAGGACAGTGAATGAATCTTTAATGGCCCTGATGGATGGGTACTGCAGAGCCCTGTTTGGGAGAGCTGAAACAGCAGCACAGTGAGTGCTGTTCACAGCTCAGTGCTTTAGGATGCTCTGGCATTTTTCCCATTAAATGCTCTTGAGGAAAGGAAAAAAGGGAGATAAAAAGAGACTACAAAGCCTTGCTCATGTCACGCCTCCCTTTCAGGCAGACTAAAGTAAGCAATCTCATCTGTATGTAAAATTAAGGTCTCCCTCCTGCACACAGCATAGCGAGCGTATTAAAACCCTGTTGCCCTTCATACTACATCTTCCCACAAACCTGTGCCTCCCACCATTACCCTTAAGTAATTTTCTAAAGCCTGTAAGTGTTGATGTCCAGTTTCCTGATGGGTAGTGCTCGATAATGACATGCACTGTTAATTCACCAACTCCCAGTTAATGCATTTCGGACACTGTCAGAGGAAGGAAAACAAAGCCTAAGTGGTACTCTGGACTCCCACATTACACTGCAAGGTGGCAATCATCTGATTGCTGGCTGAAATGCTGAAAGCATTCTGAAAACTATAAATGCCATGAAAATTCAATGGTGTAAAAAGGTACATGTATAGGTCCACAAGAGGCTGTAATATACTGTCCTAATAGGGATTTCTTCCTTTGCTATGGAACTTTGTTCGGCACCAGCTCATATAATTCAGTTCAGCAGCAGCTATTACTCATCCTAATTTCCTCCCAAGAAGAGAAATACATCCTCCCTTTACGGAGATAGTTGTATAATGAGTCAAATCATAACAATCTTCCCAATTATAAAGCTCTGTTGATGACTACAGGCAATCAAAATCTTGCCTGGCAATAGCTCTAAGGTATTTGTTCTTTTTCTAGAGCTATCACATTTATCGTGCATGCAAGCCCAGGAAGCTGGTACATCTTAAGAAAGAAATTTGAGACTTTTAGAGGAATTATGTCCAAAAGTCAGGGGAGAGAGTGTGAATAAGAAGGGACAGCGTGGCTCCCCTCGTAACTGCACTCCAAAAGCTAAAAGCCATTGCAAATGGTTGAAGCAAGGTACCTTCAGGGCCTGAAGTCCTCAAGTGCACGTCAGGTGCTTGTGGCTGGAGCACCCTGCCATGCACAGACAAGAAGCTGTCATGAATCCAGTATTTCCTCCCTACAAGCATGACACACGCCCTGGAAAAACATCGAGGAACTGGGCTTATATCTCTATGGCCTCAAGTTGCACCAGGGCAGGTTTAGGTCAGACATTAGGAAAAATTTATTCACCAAAAGGGTTGTCAAGCATTGGAACAGGCTGCCCAGGGAAGTGGTCAAGTCCCCATCACTGGAGGTATTTAAAAGCTGGGCAGACGAGGTGCTTAGGGACATGGCTTAGTGGTGGAATGGCAGAGTTAGGTTAAAGGTTGGACTTGAGGATCTTAAAGGTCTTTTCCAACCTAAACGATTCTATGAAAGGGAGAGCATGAAGAAAAGCATCAGGAGTTAGTCAGGAATTAAGGAGATATAGGGAGATAAAGACATGCCATAAAAAAGCCCAGGGTGGCAGAGAATAATTTTCTACCAAAACTATGTCCCACTTCTAGTTTGCTTTTGAAATAAGAAAATACTTCACTTTCAGAACTGGGAAACAAACAAACAAAATCTATGTCTCTGAGACAAAGTCTCACCTCTCATAATTTTCTAACAAAAATTATGTGGTTTTTTCCAACCTCTTGCTATTTTCCCTATCTATTAGGAATAGCAGTTGTTAAAAAATATTCTCAGATTTTTTAAAAATGTAGATTATTATTTTTCTTTTTGCAGTTATTTGCATGATTGAGACCATCATGACTAGTAACTAGTCAGAATCCTCTGGTGAAATGACTCATCAGATCCCAGTCAAATGCTGAGATATGTTACTTCCCTAATGAATTCCTCTCAGAACAACAAGATTATTAGAATAAGAGTTTCAAAATAAGAAAATCAGTAAGAACTCACTGGCCTTTAGGTGACTTTGTGAAAAAGACAAATGTATGGATTGTAATCCTCTTGTTTCAACTATTCTTTAGAGGAAGAACTAGGTAACAGTTGAGTATCTCGGCTGCTGCTTGTATCTGAGTGCACCAGAGAAGCTCTGCATGTTCAAAGTGGACAAGTGTTTGTACCTGTTATTCACAAAATAAAAAATATCAAAAAGGGGCAATTTTCCAAAGGAAATAATCCTTTTTTCTTTCCTCCCCAGCAGCTGTACCTCATATGAGCTGATTGCTTTGACTTTAGATATTTTATTCTATGGCTGAGGTAAATTGATCCATGTGCACCCAAACTTTCTGCAGAATTAAAAAGGGAAATAAAAGCACAAGTATGTGAGGATATCTGTACCGTGAAATTGCTGGACTGTATTAGCGTTTGTTTTAGTGATGGAAGACAAAGAGCAAGTGTCAAGCATGGTAAAAGCAGGTTCTGGATTTCATAAGTACTCAATGCATAATACCCAAAATAGGTAATTTGCACTCTTCACTTCCCATATAAAACAGATGCCTAATGCAGAACTTGATGGGAACACTCTGGTGTTACTGGTGGCTCTCCTGTGTGTGGGTACAGGCAGCTGAATTGAGGCCTGGTGCCTGGGACATGACCAGATATGGGGAAGTTCTGGAGTGATCCAGTAAATATCAAATAAGAGCTTTCATTAGCTTTGCGTTAGCTCATCACCTACTCTAATACTTACCACTAGGTGTAACCAACTCAACTGCTGTCTGATCAAGTCATATGGAAAGGGGTAATAAATACTTCAAGGAGATAATACATCGCTACTGTTATCCTGCCAATTGCTATGCGGATGACACACCTGATAGCTTGTGAAACCTCATCCTAAAACTGACAAACCAGCTTGGAGATTTTTCTTTCTTTAGAGCCACTCCCATCAAATACTTGGTAATGACAGATGAGCTGCTCTCAGGGGAGCTGAAAGAAAGGGTCACATAAGTATAGACCTGTGTGCCCTCCCTTAGGCTGTACAATTCAGACCTGGGCAGACAGGACTAGGCACACATGTCCTCTCCATGGGGCTGTGTGAGGGCCAGGAACATGGGGACCCAGCCTTTGAACGGACAGGTTCCCTGCCCTGGGAAGAACACGCTGTCTTCTCACTACCTTTGCCGCAGACTTACTGCTGTTGATCTGAGATCCATGGAAAGACCTCTGCTGCAGCTACACTCAGAAGGGCTTGTTTTCCCTCCTTAGAGATTATTTCTCAAGTCAAGCAGTGCACTGAAGCACCATTAGTGGAGCACTGCAGCCCAAGGCTCCTAGCTTTTCTCAGCACTGAGCAGAATCGCAGCCGGCTGGCTTTAATCTAATCCACGTGCCTGCAACACCAAGAACAGTCAGGCTGACAACTCAGATTTCGTGCACTTAGTGTTCATATTTCATAAAAAAAAAAGATAAATGAAGCATCTAAAAGGTGCAATCCCACCACATGCTAGCTCTGACAGCAAAGCCCAAAGCTGCCCGTACCCTCAGTTGGCCTGACCTGTCTGTCAAGTAACACTGTAAACCAGATCACTTAAATGTTCCAGGATAAAAATAATCTTAGGAAAAAGCAGAGGTTATTTTTAACTTCCCCCCTCAGTAACTACACTGACAAATCTGGTCCCCAAATGGACGGCTCACACATTAAGGGAGACATGGGCTGCGGCGATGAGATGGGAAGGAGCAAAGCAACTAAATCTGGTTTCCCATCTACGCCAAAATCTCACAGAACCTCTCTGTCTTTCCAAAAGTGTAATCATTGCCAAGTAGCCCCCTGTTTTGGATTTTCCCTCCAGTTGGTAGGTACTTTAGTTTTCCTTCTTTCTCCCTAATCCATAAACAGACACTCAGCCTGTCATCTGCTGGGATTTTTCTTACAATTACAGTGTGTGCAAAACAATGAAAAAACAAAACAAAACAAACCCCCACCTGAACTATAAATATGAAAGGCAGAAATCTTCAGCATAAGTAAATCCTTAATTGTATCAACATACTTTGAGGCCTGGACACATGATTCCATGAAGTCACCCTTGATTAGAGGAAGGCTTCCTGATGTCAACCAGGCGTGTCGTTATCTCACCGAAACACACACCTCTTCCTCTAATTTGGCACTGAGAAAGCCACAAAGCAACAGGCCTCTCTTTGCGATTACCCAGGGTGTCAAAATACAGACCAACTGTCCTCCGAAGCGTAGGCAAGCAGAGAAAACCCAAATCAGCCTTATTCTAGGGGAAGTCAGAACAATGCTCAACCTTCAGAGCTTATTTT